ACGTCTGAATCCAGACTGTGTGCCAAACAAATCATGGCACAATAATCTTTATGAAAAAAGAGAAACATTTCATGATTTACATGTAACCGGAATACTGCCAGGTTGCCCAGGCAAAGGTAGATGAATTTTCTTGAGGAATCCACAATCGGAGCCTTTCACTGGTCAAAGCCTGACCCGCAAGGCAGCGAAGCGGTGTGTGAAAACGGCAATCCAATGGGGGTCGGTGTCCAGTTCATCGGATCATACACCCATTGGACGGGGTCAAACCCCCAAGGTGCTCAATGCACCTTGATGTCCAAACAAACCGGTGACCATTGCCACAACTAGGAAGTTGTGTGGTTTGTACGCCTCCTCATGGTTAGTTTGGAATCAGGGTTTTAGGCCAACTCCCCTAGGTGAACTACCAGTGATCCAACAATCCAATTATGACCCCGAATGTCAGCTTTTCGTCCGCTCACTTTGATGGGAAAAACCTCCGTCACGAGAAGGCAGTGAGTATGGGGCTTCTTCAGCAGAGGCTATTAGAAACGCTTGGTCGTATGGGAGCATTTCACGAGGTGCACGGGAAGGGTGATCAGCCGCAACCCTAGACATCCATCCCCGACCATACTGAGGCTTTTGGAGTGCTCTCTTACATTGTCTACTCTCACTAACAAACTTGGATGGGTAATTCGGGTCAAACCCTCTGTGAGTGCGCGCGTCTATCAGTTGATTGTCACATTATAGTTGGAAAAACACAACTTTCGAGTGAGGGATCCGGGATTCAAAACCCTAGATATACACCACTTACAATTTCCACTGACAGCGAGACTCGAGTCTGACTGGTACTTTTACTGAGTTTGTACCAAAGAACTGCAGATTGCATTTAAATGCGGTGGAAATGTTTGTGATAACCGTCAAAGGACACTGGGCAGCTGTTTCGTTCTGTTTGAAACTCGTCAGCAGCGCGTTCGTTTTGTGTCCCTGTCATGACTTGAGCCGCGAATATTTGGGTTGTGACCTCAAACCCTTAACCCTGAGCTAAACGGTCGACGGTCATCACCTTGTGCGAACTAACAATCTCTCAAGGAGTGAAACCCACACCGAACATCATCATCAGTGCTTGGTGCCTGTGAAAAACCGAATAGGCTAATCCATGAATTGACCATCTAAACTGTAGATTGCACCTGAACATAGAGTCTTTAGGACACTCAATCCATATCATTTGGTCTTGCCTGATGAGAGAAGTTGACTTAACTTGAATCGATTGCTCTCTTGAGCAGTATCATTTAGTTCAGTCATGGCGGTAAGTTAACATCAGTTGCAACCTTACTTCATTAGGTTGATTAGTACAGTAGTTACACGCATCATTATAGTATAACATGTTCGTATTACATCAACCTTGCAGGAGACCAATTGACTACAAATAGATCCGTAAAAATAGTATCAGTATCAGTTTTATTCAAACTGGTTTGCGGACAACAAGCGGTGAGACTTGTTTTCATTTCCTCTCAAGTATGACTTTCACTTCTTGCGAGGTCCTCCACTCGGGCTGCCTCCGCCGCTCACTTTTGGTGTTATCTTCATCGTCCTGTTCTCAGCCATCTTTCAAATTCATTAGCCTCGGACAAATTAAATGATGATGATGATATCACGTTGACTGCAAACCGGGATGAATAACTAGCCATCGGATCGATGTTGCAGGGATGCTATTCTATGGAATGGATACAGGTCCACACAGAACCAGTCTTCAAGACAATCAACACAAGCACATACAGAGGAAGCGAATAACGCTCATCGCTCGGTCAGCGTGACCCTTACTCAACAAGAAATTGAGCACCATCTCGCATGTGTAGAACCGATAGATGTGAGGCGTTTGAACAATATTCAACGGACAGAATTGTTGAGTGTCGGGGGCTGGACTGTTGTTGTTAGATCACAACAACCGTGGTTTCAATCGGCCGTTGGGGGTTCATTGTCAATCCAATGTTTCATGCCGTCAGAGCAGAGATTAGCCCACAGAACGTGGCTCACTGATAAACGATCGGGAGCCCTCGAGTGATATAATTTGATCACAAATCCGACTAATACCGACTCCGTGGGTTTGATATCAAACACCGGGTAATTCTTTACAACTATGCTTGTTTGCGCCATAACAGTAGTTGGTGATCTCGTTGTTTATCAGATCAGGTTTGTTTTGCTGTTTATAGCGTTTTACAGCCATCCTGGTTTGAGAATTGTCATATTTTGGGCAATTCGAAGTTCATTTGAAAAGCTGGGAACAGCTGTTTGACGTCTTTAGTCCTATAAGGTAATGAAGAGACCGTGGTTGCTCCCTGGAGCAAGATTACGTTGGTTGGGACATTTGTTACACATTTCACCAAATAGGTTGCCACGGTGAGCAATGGTAGTAGGAGGCAGGTAGTGGGTGGGATAAAGCCAAGGTTGGTTAAGCCAAGATCTGGCATGATCCCTAACATATTATTGTAATAATAATAAAATATTAATATTATTATTAATTATCCCTAACCAGGGGACTAGGTCACATGGGTCCCGTTAGTCTCCCTGGCTGGGTACCTCGGGATGGTTGTAACCGATGGTTAGAGACACTGAGTGATATGGCTGGGTGTCGTAAACAGTGCATCTTCTCAATTTCTTTGCAACCTTAAACCACTGAAATTCTCCATTTTCTGTTCGACTCTATTTTCATCTTTCCTGTCTTTTTCCCACTGCTTCATCCAAATGGGCAGCCAAAACATAGCAACCAAAACCGGAGCACGAAGGTTAATGGTTGTACAAACTGAAACTGAACTGTTTTTTTTTAAAATAAAACCATTTACTTCCAATGGATATCATTGTATTTTGATACTTTCCGAAGTTTGTACTTATTCGACCAATTTTCTTCGGACTTGGAACTCAACAAATCATTAAAGGAAAGGACTAGTTCCACATTCGCTTATCTAAGACACACAGGAGGAAGTAACTAATGGCATGTTCAAGCATTGCTCCTATGCGTTTGTTGCGTATTGTATATCGAATCAAATTTCACCTATATTTGCGCAGTTTAGCAACGGTCTCGCTCTTGACGGATAATACGTGCTTTCTCAATTTCTGACGGATCTTTGTATGCGATGCTTCGCTCTCGTCATCTAACAAGCGATGAATCAGTTAGGAACCACTCAGATGGTGCATTTTTTATACACAGTGATTGATACTCGTGTCCTACCGGTTAATTAACATCAGTGATAATACTGCTACAGTTGAAATTTTCAGTACGGGAGGGAGCATTGAAAGGGACCGTTCAACTCTGCTTATCTGTGCTATTTTTTGTCAGGATTCACGACGAACTGGATTGTATTGTACTATAAATCACTTGAGCAGTGACTGTGCCGAATCAGAAAATGTGTTCACCGTTAGAATGGGATAACAAATGAAATGAAAATTAATATACAACAATGATAAAACTGAAATAGGTGATCAGCTTTGCAAGTTTAAAATTAGTTCGTTACGGATCTTCACCGTGTCAATGAGAATAGGAGCTAGATAGGGAACCGTTGAATAGCGATAAATGTTTATGCGGCTGACGTACTTTCACTAAATTCAAAAGTTATGTTCCGAGACTATGGTCGGCTTGATGAACTGGCTGGTCTAAGGGAGCTGGAAACTCCTCAGTTCAAAGCTCTCAACGTGTGACATTGGAGAAACAAGTCCAGAGTGAATTTTTGTCTTGGAATGCGTTAAGTATTACGCGTTCTTTCCGAAGCACATCACAAACCGAAAGCGTTTCCGATACTTATCACACATTCAATGATTTTGGCTGTTTGTCTGCCTCATGCAAATGGGGCGAGTAGTTAGGGGCTTTCCTTTCGATTTATCCACAGTAGGTATTGGGATTACCGATTGGTTGGCAATAGTCTTCCAGCCTACCTGATGTGCAGTAAATGTACAACACGTTGGACACTTTCACTGGTTCGGGGATTTTCCGCTAAATAAGCTGATCACCCTAAATTGTTTTCGCGAAAAATGAGAAAAATAATTGTCTCAAAAATCGTCTGGGTTTTTTTTGTTGCAAAACTTTTCATCTACACAACCACTTCCGAAACCGGTTATATCAGCCGATTACACATGAAATCTGTTTGGTCTACGCTACGTCAATCACGTTTTTTTAACTACCTCAGTTTTTATACTTATCAATTGTCTTATCCTCATTGCACGTTGTAAGAAAGAAACACGGTGGCGAACAAGCCCGTTTGCTATGATTCTTCTACAAGCGAATACATCACAATTAATTTCAAACTGTTTAATTTTGGGAGGGGGAAATCCTGACAGATTCCAAAAGAAGTAATCAGCATTCCAGTATCACGACCAAAGTTTGATGTATTCACATGTAGAAGAATCACGGCAAAGAAGCTTGTTCTCCCCTGTGTGTTTTTCTTACTACGTCATATCTTGAAGTTCAGAGTCATTCTAAACAGATGTGATTTTAGAAATATATATATATATATTTCTCCTCGTCTAGTTCACTTTCCGACTTCTCACTTTCTCTTCCCTCGCACTTCCATTCCAGCCATGCAATCGTGATCATCCCGGTGTGGAGAGGCGCAGTGCCAATGGGGCTTCGTCAGGCTCGAGTCAGAACCCGTTGATCGGTCACGTTCGTCGACATTTACGCAACGCGGCTGGTACAGTGGATCCGAAACTGGTGAGTTAATTCGCAGTATACATATGTTATTCTCTTTACTCGATTGGCAAGTGATTAAATTGATCACGTTAACCGCCAAGGCACACTGAAGCAGTTTCGTCTTGCGCTTTTAGTAGATATCGGTCGATGCATATAGGTCAAACTTCTCATACCGCGAACACATCTTGACTTCCTATGATGCTGCAAGCACTTGATTTCACGCAAACATACTTATTTTTTTGTTTTGTTTTCGTCTACGCTACTGACTACTTTTAAGTAGGTGAAAAATGTAAACCACATTGTGCAAACAGTTCATCGATCAGCGCAGGTGTCTAAACGTTGGAATGGCAAATGAAACCTAGAACTTTGTCTGAATGGTTTAAAAACGAAACTCTTGTATAATTTTCTCTCTATTCTCCACCCCCCCTGCCCGCAACCCCTCATCAGGCTCATGAACGCCAGAGGGAGAAATACGAGCGCCGCATCCACGAGGTCAGTTCTTATACATGCGTGTATGCTACTTCAAACTATAATTTATCCATTTTATCGACTTTATGACTAGTGCCATGTGTTCATCATTCCTTTATCGTTGCACAACTGTCTTCTTCTCCGATTACACGATCCTGAAAACCAGATTTTTTCTTTCCGCTTCAATGTGATTATTCTCGGGACTTGATTCAGTTTGTTCCAAAACTTTCAAGATTCGAGACTAAAGCTTCGGAATTTACGATTTCCGCTGCAGGAAAACTTTAAATTCAAATTTTTATTATAGGTAAATTACAAAGCTGATCCTTATTTAATCCCATAGGGTCTGTAAACACACTGGGTTCGGTTGATAGTACATAGCAAATCATGACGTTCACTCACGGGTGCTGAAAAGCCAAATGTTTCAATGCTTCATCCAGTCGTGACTTGAATAAATCGATGGTTGGTGCACAAACAACTTGAGGCGGAAGAGAGTTCCAGGTATTACAAACTCTGAGGCTGAAAGAATGAATCCTGCAGTCTAACCGACTCTTTTGGAACAAAAGTTTAAACGGATGTCCTCGGAGGTGACCATTCCTGGAGAGTGATGTTGGATTATTACACGGGTGATTAGATTGATGTAGTATTTGATATACGAGGATCATGTCTCCAGGTAATCGAAGGTATTCAGATGAATACAGTCCAAGAATATACCGTCTTTTATCGTAGGTTTTAGATTGTAACCCTTTGACCATTTTGGTTGCTGTTCTCTGCGGACGTTCGAGTGCTTTCTGGTTGCGAATCAGCCATGGATTCCAAGCCTGTATAGTATACTCGGTGTGCGGTCGAGTGTATGATGATAGTAAACGGGGCAATAGGTCTGTTTCGAATGATCAAAAAACACGTTTTATTTATCCAACGTGCCATATGGTCTTTGATGACGCTCTTGCGCAATGTGTGGAACATCCAAGATCCTCACGAACAATAACTCCCAGGTCCTTTTCGTTTGGAGAACGCAGTAATGGTTAAGTTCCAAGTAAGTATGGAAAGCGATTCCTGTGACGTAACGATACAACCTTTCATTTCTAAGCATTGAATTCGATGTCATTAGTGATTGGTAAGCTGCTTCGAGAGTTTCCTGTAAGGTTTCATAATCTTCAAGATATTATACCGTCCTCCATGTTTTGGTGTCGTCAACGAATGATAATACCTCAAGGATAGCCGGTAGGTCGTTTATGAATTGTGTTTTGTGTATTGTATTGTGTATAACTTTTGCAAGCACTGGAGCTCACATTTCAGTTAAAAAGCATACACGCTAACCGTCACAATGTACATAATCAACGGGGAGAAAATTTTTCGCAAGCATGGAGACATTCATAATCCAAGGTTAAGACACAGTTCACTCATTGTTCGCTCTTTGTTTGTGAGTAGACGAGCGAGATACGGTATGGGTGAATTGCGGTATGCATTAATTCGAGATGAAATTTGACGAAATTGGGAGCGTGTTGAATGATGGGAACGACAACGTGTCAGTTCTGCATACAATGGGTGGTCCGGATCTGTGAGGATCCTCTCGGCAAATTTCACACAGGAAGTTACGTGATACTCGGAAAGCTTTACAGCTAATTCATTCACAGGAATGGAAGAGACACGACTAATAATGGTTAGACCGCGTCGTAAGACTTTGAAGTCCTGTTTGAGTAAACCAGGAAAAATAACCGGGGAACAATAGGGTGAGATGGGGAAAACACATTGATAAACAAAGTAGAAATAACTGACTGGGATGCGCGAAACTGCCTGAGCTTTCGTATTTGAAATTAAAGGCTAGGAAAGGTACGTACCAAGTACGGATCCTTGTGGAACTCCCCGGACAGCCTCAGTCAGTCCCGATAGAGAACGATTAGCTCGAAACGATGCGGGACGTTGTGTTTCATTCATAGACAAGGCACCCATAGGGATTAGTAACCGTTTTTACGCTGTGAATATCGATCAATAAATTCTGGTTTTATTCTGTCACTGATTAAACAACCAGTCAGAAATCCGTTGAGCTTTGAATATCGTTTTTCCCTTTTGTTCTCGTTCTCTACTGGATCAAATCGAAATTGCTCTGTTGCAGAATCAATTTTTCAGACATGTCTAAAAATAATCTCGGACCAGTTTACTTCGTTCACATTCAATCTTTCATTCAAAATTCTGTTATGAGGAAAACCTCGTGAACCCACAGTAGCATAATTATTGGCTTTGTGAGTTTCATATCGTGAACTATCCCAGTAGTTGCGTTAGGGCGATAAGTGGAACTCTAGCAAGTGTCAGTGTTGTTTTTCGTTATATTCATTTATATATATATACCATCAAAAATTATGTAACGAATTGAAAAGCCTATCCCAAAGTAAGTAGAATAAATTTGGAAACTGAAGTGAGCAATTTTCTCAGATATTTGGATCGTGTTACTCAGGAAGAGCACCACAGTTGGGGAGGTTGACAACGAAGCTCACCAATCGCGAGTTGATTTGGAGAAAGAGGAGGTTTTGCGCTTCCTATGCATATATTGCTTGTTCATATCATGTTAATCCAAATGCATGACACAAAATAACTTACCTGTCACAAATTCTTCTAATCACAGAGCTCGTTCGACCCATTAGTTTAATCAATTTTACGTTGCACAATCTTTCAATATCCGTGTTACCTAATTGCCGACTTTACCCAGGTGAATTGGTATCACGCAGCCACCCTCAACTGAGCATCGTTCATAGTCTACCCGGCGCCCAAACGTAACTATTGCTAACCTCTAGCAGTTGTAGTAAAAGGCGTAAATCTTTTACCTGAGCCGTTTCTATGGGCATACATCCCCTATCCGCGTATTCAATCTCTCAACTCCCAATGAGTTTTGGAGATCACTTTCCACAACCAGGCATTTTTTCACTTAACCCACCTTAATGATATCCATGTTCATCTATGGTGTAGTTCTTAAGACATTCCAACTTATTGCTTCGGCAATCAACTCATTATGGTGCACAGGTGGTCCCTTACCACGTCTTTCTCTCTCTGGTGTGTGTGTGTGTGTGTGCACGCGCGCGTGTATGTGAAAGACATATTCATAGAGTGTCTGCCTGGGGTCAGATTCATCTTTGTGGGATTCCCAAATCATGGGCAAAAAGTTTTGTTTACACTGCAGTATTGTTATACACCTCATTAGCAGGTAGGCTTTGTTTATCAAACCTAGTCATCTGTACTCGCACTGTCACTTGTCTTTTCATCTCCACTCGGTTCTCAGGAGCTCAGTCGATTGTTACACATGGAAGAGGAGGCATTTTTCTACTTCTCCCCTGGCGGTGGAGATGTGACTAGTTGGACGCAACGAAAACATGCATCCAATTACTGGACCGGTCTGTCCGATCCCACCGCTCCAGAATCCGATGGATCGGACACAAACTGGACCCCACAAACACGGCCCAGTTGGCGTCAACCCGTTTGGCGTCGAGCGGATCATCGCTTTTTCTGGAATTCTCACATAATGACGGAGGCTATTCAGGATGCAGATCGGGTTCTTCGCTCGCAGGGTTTTCCCGACTACGGGGCCGAACCGCGACTGGATGTGCAAAGCGGTCTGTTTGAATCGCAGATATCCGACCTGGAAGGTCTCATCACACCGATCATTCAGGGTTATGTGGAAATGGAGAAGCTCTCCTTACTTCCTACCACATCTGTTTCCGGTGCAAAGAAACCAGTTCCGGTTGTCACACAACACCCCACCTCCGTCCCTTCCAGCCATCAAAATGAACAACGTGAAGTCACCGTGTACTATTCCCCCATGGGACGTGATCCGAGCCTGGAAGATCGTGGTTCTGTCGTTTTCCACGGTTTGAACGACGCACCGCCCCAACCAGAAACAATGCCCACTCCGAATTTGTCCTTGTCTGACTATCCGGACACCAAGGATTTTGGTGTCTCATCCTGCCTGGACGATGTCTCCGAACTGGTCACTTCAGTGGCCACGGTAACAGAGCCGTTTGAGCCCCGAACACCAATCGAAGCACCCACCGGTCCAGGTGTTTTCCAGCCTCTGTCGACCAGAAAATCATCCAGTATGGGTAATATTACTGTGGTTCTAATCTCACGTCGAAGTCGTTTTCGAGCAGGTTAGTCAGTGAATCCATCTGTCATTGATTTATGAATTGCATGCACGAAACGGTATGTATGCATTCCAGGAAACGTTTTATTCCCCTGCCCTGGGTAGATTGGTCCGGCAGCGGGATAGTTCTAACAAAAGTCAAAGTGAATTTCTTCGTGTACCGATTAAGCCTCAAGAGAGTGCTTCCAAGTTTTTCAGTTCATGCTTCATTTGCCGTGTGAACGACGAAATCCGCCATAGAATCATTGAATCAAGCTATCCACTATTTGCATTCGAAAAGGAAAACTTTCCTAATGAAGAGTAGTTTTGCTCTCATCTTGGTCTTTCTGAATTACATAACAAAATTTGACTGATTGGTGAACCACCATAATTTGTAGCTGTAAATTCTTTGAATCCTCAAATACTACAATCGGCATGTGCATTCCTGCGACAGTAGGATAACAGTTCTCGATCCATGACCCACAGAGCACGAATTTGTTCTCCCAATGCGAGGAGCGTAGTTTCCTTTGTATTAATTTTTGTATGATATCCCTGGGAGCCGGTTTCGTGTGATGGTTTGGCTCGTCGTAATTCTAATGACAAATCTTCGAAATGTGGTGTGAAAATGGGCCAAACTTCCACACAAACATCCACCAACTGATTCGAGTCCGGGAATAAGGGGGAATGGGATGGGGTGTTAACAAAACCTAGTCAGAGAATGTCTCGTTGCCACGTGACCAGCTCCAAATCAAATCTGTTTATATGTGATACCCAAAGTAACAATTCCGAAGATGTACGCGATTCAGTTCACTTAAAAAACATTGTTGGCGCATTTGGAATTGCCTCTGATCCTAGTAACAGTACACTATGAAGGCTTTGTACAAACCCTTTGACTCAGACGGAGCTTATTAGAATTTGATTCTCCTCATGAAGGTCCTCTTCACACGTGTATGTATGATCGAGAAGGAATTATTCGAGCTTGGTCACGTATTACAACTTCGACCGATCCACCGTTCGTCAGACGAAATACTCACAATCGAGAGTACTTTTGCGAAAAGAAAAAAGTATGCTTCTATGCGCCATTTTTATTTCTTTTCAAGAAAAGTCCACAGCTGATTTCTACATTTCTATTTGATAATTTCGAATTCTTGATTATCCTTCTCACTTTAGGCACTCGGTACCGAAGACGTGGAATCGACCATGACGGACATGTGGCAAACTATGTGGAAACGGAACAGGTTAGTCAACCTTAAAATGATTTTATTGTTTTATTGTTCTCACTACTCATAAGTAACATCGAATTGTTGCCAAAAACCAATCATTCGTTTGTCCTGCTCCCGTCGGAATATGCCCTTTTGTGCGACGGTTTATTATCTGTTGTCCACCCATTTAGATGAATGAGTAGAGGAAACATTAGAATGCTGGAAGCAGTATCAGTGTGTGGGTATCACTGAGTGGTTGTCAGCTAATTTCCTTATTTATATCATATTTTATTTGTGTTGTGTGGGTGTGGTTGTGCTAGCAAATACCACCAGATAGCTGCTTCGTGTATGGTTTTGGGATTCACTGGCAATGAATCCTTTTCGGTTTAGGGAACCGCGTGAGTCGAAACCATTATCGCCGAGCTACTCAGCAGGCCTACTGTATCATATCTAGGACTCATAATGTAGATGAACATATGCCTTCGGAGAATTCCTTTTCAAGCCTTTACAATCAAATTTATGTGATGCAATCTCAGTGGGGTCAAACAGAAGGATGGATGAGTCATGTGTTTGGAAATTAGTAAGAGAGAACTCCAAATTAGTATTCTAGTTCGATTACTTAACAGAAATTCGCCATGTTACTTCATGGTCATGTGAACAAGCTATTTTCTCTCCCCTTGGCCAGTGGAGTTTACAAGCTTGGATCAGTTTTCGTTGTGCGCACAGCTCAGGTTTCAGGTATCGGATATTAATCGGTTCTGTGGTTGATAACGTCCGAAACCGTATTGCTCTCGAAGGGGGGGGTGAGACGCGATAAATGATTGTAAATGCCGAGCACATGTCAACCAAATGTCCCGTCTCGACCAGATGAGTAACAAACGAGCTGGACACAGCTGCATTCCCACCTTGTGTGAGACACTGTGGATTGTGTTTATCGATCCGTTGAGATAACGATCTTGTCGTTCGACCTACATAAGTCGCATCACAGGCGCACTTGGATCGGTAGACAATCATAGATGAGATCAACATAGACATTTTTTCTTCTTTTTAACATCGGATGTTTGGTGACGTAGAGAATACGCATCATGGCTGAGCGGAAGTAAAGGTGGACTTCACTGTGGCGGATAAAACACTACTGACTGTGTCAGCGGTAGCATCATCTCTGAATAGGAGTTTTATTTTTCTTTAATTAATTAGACTGAACAGAATAAACTAATAAAAATACCAAAAGAAAGAAGAACAAAGAGAGAGGGGGCGAGGCTAGGGAAACGAGGAGGTAATTATTGAATTCACAGAATACACCTCGTTCAGGAATGTATAAGATCTGGCCGATTTTCCAAAAGCTAGGAAGCTGGCTGTTTTCAACTGTCATTGTGTGTGTATACGTGCGTGTGAAATACTAGGTCATGTAGTGTGTAAATCTCCATTGAGAAACTCTTTAACCCTAGCCGTGGGACTTGTAGTGGCGAACCTCACTAATTCTCAATAAGAAAGGTATGATATTGCGCCGAGTGACAGCGAAGCTGTTCATCCCGTACCGAGAATACGAGTCACAATGTGTGTTGCATTCAAAGACATCCAGGTACAACAGATACTTGGAATAAAGTTACCATCAGCAGTTTATCGGACCTGTTACACAACCGATACTGTTCCCTGTACCATGCAGATGCCTACACTACCGTTCAACTAGTTTCCAGCTCTGCGCACTCCTTTTTTTCCTTGCGGTTACTCAGCTGCCAGTTCAGTTTAGACGATTCACATTGCACTTTCCCGCGTTTGTTGTTACTTGTTGTTTTACTCGTTGCCCTTTGAGATGAGAGGTTTCGAATGGAGAAGTAAATCGCTGAGAGCAGTACCAGTACTGGAATTGGTTTTATTGATTACGACACTCAGGATCGCTAATTATGGATTACACTGATCCCGAGGTCCACAATCAAGAAGCCTACCGCGACCCCAGTGACGTTTTCCAAAACCCTCAGATCATGTATGTGGTTGGTTGACCACCTTTGACCTTCTTTCATCTGTTACTTGCCTCGGCAACAATTGCACACCGTGGCAATCTATTTCATGCGATGTGCAACACACGTCCCACTTATCGTAATCTATGAAAATCAAGCACTTGCTGCAGCGCGCTACTGCGATTACTCAACGCTCTTCGGTTGACCTTGACACTACTTGCCCAGTTGTTCCACCAGACTCATGCGAGGTGCCATAGACAGTGGTGTTCGAACACCGAAGATAGTCATTTTTCATCTCGGGCGCAAAGCATCATTTCATGCCATTCAGATGCATCTAAGTGATTGTGACAGAGCGTTAGAAACCCCCGCTCTTCTCCGCAAAAAAATGTGAATGGACTTGCCTTGCCAATCAAGTTTTCTTTTTTCAACTTTTCCAGCCTTCATTTTTCACCACTAACCTAATATATATATATATATATATATATATATATGTGTATGTGTGTGTGTGTGTGTGTGTGTGATTGTCGTGCGCATCAGTTGAGATGCAACAAACCCTTCTGCAGCATAAATCATGCGGAGTTGCAAAAAGGGCTGTTCAAACGGATAACCGTAAAGAATTGTTTCAACGCAGACAGAGACATGGGATGCACTATTGCACCTCTAGCATCGTGAATAGTTTATGTGCGTTCAACCGTTAGCACTCCCATTTTAATTCCCCAGTTTGGCTGATCGATGAATTCGCACCGCTAATGGACCGGGTATATATTTTCTCAGGTTGAATATGCACGATCTGACAACCGATCTTTGCGAGCCCATCAAGCTCGTGCAGTCCCGGGTTCGCGATCCCCAGTTAGGTCGATGAATTCGTGCTGCACGGATGAGACCCAACCAGGCCGAAACAGTTGTCCGATGCTTTTCACTTCACGCCTCATTTACGCGAAGAATTCATCGCAGCTAATCAAATTAAATCCTCCATTCCTCCTCTCATGTATAGTTTCTACTAAATTCATTCTTTCAGCGATCCAAGCGTGATTAGATCCAATCAAAAGTCAAATATTTTGAATTTCCCTAATTGAAGTGAGGTGTGAAAATGCAACAATGTATGTCAGGTTTAATCGGAACGAGTGGAGAAAATGGGGAGAAGAGTTAAAAGGAACTGAGGTCAATTCTGGAAATTTCCGGTGACCTTTTACACGTGCGACTTGTCACACCATGTTACGTTATCACGACATGATTGAGTTCATGGTTCTGATCGTTACTTCTGTTTGGTTGGGGCCTAGACAACTGGAGTGCACTAACCATTTTCTTCTATTCGCACAGTGGTGGGTTCATGATTTTAATTGCTACAGCTTCTACCGTCGTTGTCCAGTGACATTTCCGAACGTACTTCGACTTGTTTTTGGGCACTTTGTCAGTGATTTTGAATGTATCGTTGTCTGGTGTTGGCTAGGTGTGCCATAATCGCACTGGTTATTGTTCTCTTGCAATCCGCGCTAGGCGAAGTCGGTTTATGTTCTCTGATCTTTTGTGAGAACTATCTCATTGTTCGTCCTACATCACTTGCCGAACATGTACAAATGAAGGAATATGTAATCATAGATGAGGAGAAGATGGATAGCTTATCTTTGAGGGTTGTGCAGAGCTGTGACCGGTTTGTGAACATCACACATTAGATATAACCACACACATATCCGTGAATACCTGAAGACGAAGTTACGAAAACAAGCTTGTTCGCTATATTGTTTTTCTTTTAATATTGTTGTGTGAATCTTCCATGAATTTTGGATTTCCTCTAACTGATTTTTATCGTTATGATTGTTGTTCATCACACGTCTCCACTGTGTTGGATCACCCGAGTGAAGAGGAAGGAACTATTTCCACCAGACTAGTTTTTTTGTACTTGTTCAATTCAATCATCCTCACCTTCTGTTTCCTTTTTGCGTGTTGTTGATGAAGAGCGAATCCGTTCGCGTAGTTTTTCATCCCCACAACTCGCACTCATTCTGAATGATTAAGTGATATCTTATTAATACTTGTTGATCCGTGGTTCTGTAATATCTGTGGGATATTATTGTACGGATATTTGACCCCCGGGGTAGGGGTAAAGTTTCGTGGAATAGATTGAAGCGGATTGATGGCGGTGGTGGTAGTGGTGGTACCGATGAGAGAACGTGAGTGCAAAGCGGGACCGAGTTGAATGTGTTCCGTACCCTTAATCGGAATTTCTTTCCTGATTATCTTCACGTGTCATAAAATTAGGGCTACCGCACGCGACGATACGTGTGCATGATCAGTCGGATAGCTATCTCTTTGTCTCCGATGCAGAACAACAAGGTACGCAGGTTTTGTTTGTTTTCTCACAGAAGAAAAAAACGGTAGCAATCCTCCGTGTGTGTGTGTGTGTCGTTTCAAGTGAGCTGACAGTATTACCTCGACCTCGTAATGTTCACCCACCCATCCGCCCGCATTGCACACAATCTTCTGAGATGAAGGGGGATAAGAAACGTGTTCATGGTTGTCGGAAGAGCAGTCAGATAGGGACAGGCGTAGAAACGAAAAGACAGGAGGGGGTATTCAGGTGTATATCATCATCATCATCTTCATCTTCTTCCGTGAAACTGACAGTGCGCGATCCGATCTTTAAAATCCCGATCGATCAACATTCAGTCAATTTCTCTAGTCACATTTACTGCCGATGTGAAAACAAAAACGCTTACCCCAGGGTTTGCGTTCATTATTATTCGGTTTTGAAATCAATAGCGAGGAATAGAATTTTAAGACTAACTTATACTGTGATGTTTTAACGCATGAATCACGTGACCTGCTCATTGCCCTACTCCCGTGGTTCGCAGTCCGGTTACCCAAATTCGATTATCACAACATTCTTGAGCTGTGATTGCTACCGCATATCTGTCTGTCTGTGTGCGTGAGTGTGTTAACACGATCTGACTTCAAGATAATGTCATTATCATACAGTTGGATATCACTGATGCCAATTTCACTCATCAGCTACGAGATTGTTTTGTCCCACGAAGTGTGCAACCAAACAGTAGTGCACATACAAACACACACACACAATCGCACGCGTTCGTT